GCGCGAGGTGTTGACTTCTTTCAAACCTTCGTCCCAACCCCGAAGATGACCACTCTTTGGGCGCTGCTACACGTAGCAGCACAGCGTGACTACGAGATGCACTCCCTCAACTTCTCTACAGCGTTTCTCAGGGTAGTCTGCACAAGCAGGTCGACCTGCAAGGCCCGCCTGGCTTCACCGGCACCTTCGCCCCCAGGACCCAGTGGCTCCTGTGCCGCATGGTTTACGGCCTGCGGCAGGTGCCCCGTGAGTGGCATGACGCAATGCGTACTACGTTAGCTAACTCGCAGTTCTTCTCGTCGTCTGCAGACCCTTCGCTCATTGTTCGTTCAAGCCTGACCCCTTCTACATCCTTGTCTATGTTGATGGTCTGGTCTTCGCTACTGCAGACAGAGACGCACTGGCCTCCGTGAGGGCTGAGCTGTTGAGGAGATACACCTGCACTGACATAGGAGAACTGTGCCACTACCTTGGCCTGCAGATCTTTAGGTACAGAGCAGCGTGCACCATCACTGTCACACAGTCACACTTGGTGCGCCATGTCCTTCAGAGGTTCGGTCTTCAGTTCTTCTCCGCACAGCCCACACCTCTGCCAGTAGATCACAGGCTCTCGGCTCCAGTCCCTGAGGAGTCTGTAGAGTGCAGTGGTCCTTACGCAGAGCTGGTGGGTTGCCTTATGTACCTGATGACTTGCTCTCGTTCAAATCTCGCATACCCTCTCAGCATCCTAGCTCGCTTTTTGGCCACAGGCAGACATCGACCACAGTATTGGTCGGCCGGTATGAGGGCGTTATCTAGCAAAAGCATCGGGCATGGGGCTAGTGCTAGGAGGACGCAGGCCAGTGGTCCTTACAGGGCACACAGACGCTTCGTGGGCAGACGATGCTGAGACACTTAGGTCCTCCCAGGGCTACTACTTTAGCCTTGGTGTAGGCGCCATCTCGTGGAGGTCCACCCGCTCGTTGTCTATTGCCCAGTCTACCTGTGAGGCTGAGATCTACGCTGGTGCCATGGCGGCACAGGAGCTCCGTTGGCTTACGTTCTTGCTCACGGACTTAGGTGAGCGGCCTCCCTCTGCCCCAGTCCTGTACGCGGACAACATGGCCATGATCCTCCTACAGTGGCAGAAACAATTGTCCACATGTTTAGCATATTTTTACATTTTGACGAGCTGTACGCTATAAACATTAAGCCTTAATTCATGGTAGCCATACACGTAGAGAGGAGCAGTTAGAGCACTCACTCAAATCTCCTAAAACCAGAGTAGTATATTTCATGGTCCTTCAAGATGACAACATTTAATAACAGCACATCCGGACAATTTGTACTGAGGACAGGCAGCAAACTAGTTACTAGCAAAACTAGTACCTAGTCAACCGACACTTGGCCTTGATCACCACCTATACCCTCCTAGGCATGTTATCTACGAGGTTAGTGCAAACCTTTACAAGGATCTTCTCGCACTCTTCCTGGACCCACGCTTTTGCATAAGGGGGTGAGCACTAGGAAAATCGCGAAGTATTTGAACGTATGCAAGAGTATTGTGCACGATTTCATGTTGAATGTTATCTCTAAGACTAGCCATGCTGAGGTGTGGCCAAAGATGCCATTAGTCGATTGGTCTCGTCTTATCATGGATCGTCTTCATCGCACCTTGTAGGTAGAAATTACGAGCAGAGTGGCGAAAAATTGCGTATCTGCCACGAAACTTAGGGTAACATAGCACGGTTGACAGTGCATCCTTGCACTATTAGAATCATGCTAGGATCCGTATGTCTCTGAGCGGTGCAGCAGTCGAAGTAGTCGTGACTGGTGGGGGAAAATATCCGGGTTGAGATCTGGTGAGGAAAAGGGTCGCAGGGCCGCAGAATTAGCCGCAGGGCCCCAAAAATTAGCCGACTCCTCTACCTAGACAACCGGCGGGAGGGGAGTGACGCAAGACACACTAGATGGGGCAGGACGCGGAGGGAGAGGAGCAGTGGCTACCGGGGGAGTGGGAACCAGAAACAGGGGCGGGGTAACCTGGAGACTTCGGTCGGGAAAGCGGGTGTAGACGGAGACAGACTCCTCAAAAGTGACGTCACGAGAGTGAAAGAAACGGTGAGAGAGCGTGTGGAAAAACTGCCAGTCAGACGTGTCTGGGGGGAAGCCAAGAAAGACATAAGAAAATGGGGTGCACCGGAATGGATCATGGAGGTATGAGCCACCTCCATGACTAAACCGATGCATCGCTCAGTGACTCCATTCTGTTGCGGGGAGTCCGGTAGTGTGTACGACTTGGTGATGCCCTCCGCACGACAGAACTGGCCAAGCCGACCAAAGGCAAACTCGCCTCCACGGTCGGAGTGAAGACGCAACACAAGGAGGCCACGGTGGACTTGTGCAGCTACGACCGACGGGATAAGAACGTCAGGCACGTCGGCGTTCTGCTCCAGGGGAAACACCTTGGTGTAGCGCATTTGGTCGTCGACAAGCACTAAAAAGTAGCGCTCTCGACGCTGCCCAGAGACGGGAGCTGGGCCCCAAACGTCCAGGTGCAGGGTCTGGACTAGCGCAGTGGTAGGGGGAAGTGAGGAGTAGTGAGGAGCAGGGCGCAGCCGGCCCTCGACGCATGGCGTGCACGGCGGTGCAGGTGAGGGAGGGAGAGCAGGGAGCGACGAAGGGAGACCTTAGACAAGACCGTGCTGGGACATGTGACGCAGACGCGGGAGTGCAGGGTGACCTAGGCGGCGGTGCCATAGTAGCGACGGGTGAGAGAGTGATCGGCACGAGCAAGCCGCAGTGACTTGGGAGGGTGCGGCCACCTGGGGAGACACCCCACCGGGGGGGACGCAGTGTCAAGCGTAAACAGGCGAGACACGGGGTCCCTGGGGAACGTGGTGAGAGGGGCACCAATGGCGGCCTCGGTACAAACCGCGCACCGCTCGTGTTCGGGGAACGTAGTAGTGACGCCGAGGTCCTGAAGATAGCCAACACCAACTAGGTTCCTGGAGAACGGAAGGATGTACAGGCCTGTAAGAGAGCCCGAGGGAACTGCCGGACAGGGAAGGGTGGTGGAGCTACGCACAACTACCAGTTCTGAGGAGGGGTCAGCAAGCGCGACAGTTGCAGGGGCGGCAATCGGCGTGAGCGCAGTGTGGTCGTGAAAGAAGCAGGCAGACATGCAAGAGTCTAGCGTGAAAGAGAGCACGGCATGAGCGTCAGTCGGCGGAGGGGCTAGTGTGGAGCCTAGGCTAAACAAATCAGCAGATCCTACGTCTGACGTAACAGGGGAGCCTAGACTACCCACATGGGGTGCACCTACGCTAGGCAACACAGGGTAATAAGGTCCAGTCTCCCTAGAGTCATCAGCATACATGACATACATAGCAGAGAGAATCTCATCCATATCCATCTCAAAGCCCCGCACACGGCAATGTACCAGGCTGTGCGAGTCGGGGGGCTCCAACGCAGGGCCGTACCGGAGACGGAAGATGTCTTCGAGGCGACGGTAGCAGCGAGTGGCAGTGTGACCGGGACGGTCGCAGACGATGCCGCGGCGGAGGTCGGACTGAAGCCACCACCCGACACCGGGTGGCAGGTCACCGCACTGGAGCCGCCACCTGACATCGAGCTGCATGGCCCACTAGTACGACGACCACCACCAGAGCCTCCAGGCCACCACGACGGCGGGGGTTCCCACGGCTGCTGCTGCTGCTGCTTGGGCTGCTGCTGCTGCTGCTGCTGCGCCGAGGCATCAGCCCCGGTCCCCTCGTCTGCACCACCGTCAGCAGTAGCGGTCGTCTCAGCAATAGCGGCAGAGATGTCAGAGTATGTGCATTGGTAGGGAGAACAGCCCTGGAAGATAGGGACCGCCGCAGTACCGCTCGACTGAGCGAGACTGAGCTGGCGGGTCTGTATCGCGAACACGGTAGTGACAAAGTCAGTAAGGGTGAGGTCAGCGGGGTGGAGGCTAAGGAAGTGGTCGCGGGCAGTGGCTAGGCGGTCAGCGGGGTGGAGGCCAAGACATTTATGGAGTCTCGCGTGGGTGTACGAATACGCGAAGATCGCAACAATGAGGATCACCGAGTCAACCCTGCTACAGTACCACCGACTGTTGACGCAAATTGACGACACCTCGCAGAGGTCACGAAAGGGCAATGGTCACAGACCGTTGACCATGCAACCAGGGCTTCATATTGGATTTTGAGGGGCTGTTGGCTCAGAATGCCACCAGCAGGAGATTTGAAAATTTTACCCTAAAGAAAATTTGCAACTTCCAAAACCCGTCCCCGGCTACGACGACGACAGCGGCAGCGGCGGCGACTGCGAAGCCCGCGGCACCCGGCGGCGTGGCACGGCCCGGCGACGACGGGGAAGGGAGCCATCAGCTGCGGCTGGGATGAGGGGAGACGCAGGGGAGGGGACATGTCTTCAGCGAGGCGCCGTGGCTGGCGCGGCACTTGCTGGCGTGCGGGTGTGCTGGTTGGCGTCCAAATCAGCGCGCTGGCCGCAGCCGTCCGTGCGCTGGCGCATCGAAGCCGCCGCGGCAGCACGACGAGGCCGCCGCGGCAGCGCGGCGAGGCCGCCACGGCTCCTCGACGAGGCCGCCACGCGTCGAGGCCGCCATGGCAGCAGGACGTGGCCGCCACGGCAGCGCGTCAAGGTCGTCGCGGCAGCGCGGCGAGGCCGCCACGGCTGCTCGACGAGGTCGTCGCGTCAGCGCGGCGAGGTCGCCACAGCAGCACATGGAGGCCGCCACAGCAGCACATGGAGGCCGCCACAGCAGCACATGGAGGCCGCCACGGTGGCGCGAAAGTGAAAGGAGAGGAGAGGGTACGCGTCGGAAGCGTGAATAGGAGGCTCAGCAGGATCTTCCTACTGTAAAACCATGTTAGAAGGAGCTAAGAAGCTAAGGTAGGCATGAGAATGACGAGAGGTTTTTTAGCTAGGTAGGAAAAGTGACGAGAGTAAAGAGAGTTGACTAGACAAGAGAGAGAGAGATACAAGAAGGATGTTGTACCCTCTATAGTAGGATCCATAATTGTAGAACACCTAACAAGCCTACACAACTATATATATAAAATATATATCGTAAGTTGACACTGAAGACTTACGCTGTGCTATCAAGCACTCTGTTACAAGGACGTAGCCTTCTGAAAAGATCCTAGGGCTATTATCAGCCCAACAGGCCCTAAATGTAATCAGTCGAGCCCACGGTGTCCACCTCACGGTGTAATCAGTCCACTCCACTCTCGGTTCAGAAGACAACTTGTCCAAGTGGAGAACTGCAAGTGGTACCGTAGCTGTGGAGAATACTAGCTCTTTACATACCTGGTACCACATTAGCCTAAACTCATACACACGCACAAGCAGGCTACCACAGTAGCAGCTCCAAAACGAGCGCACAGGAAATGTAAAAAAAAAACAAAACATCACCAGAAAGGGCACCAGCCGATGTAGCTCTGGCAGAGGTTCTCATGCGACGTGGCCTGCACCACCAGCCGCTGCACCTGCTCCTTCACACTCACCCCCGGCTCACTCTCCCGCCCCTCTGCTATCACCCCGCCGCCACTCGCCCCCATGGCAGCAGCAGCCATGGCTGAGGTCGTCCGCTCCAAGCTCCGCCCGCTATCCCCTAGCATGCTGCTGCCGCTGCTGCCGCTACGGGGAGACTCGGGCACGCCACCGGGAACAGCAGCAGGGGCAGCGGAGGCAGAGAGCGGGAGGAAGTCCCTCCCGGTGAGCTTGTTGCTCATGCGCGTCATTACCGCCACTGCCCGCTCATTTAGCACCTCCTGCGCGTCGTCCAGCTGCCCCAGCGCCTGCAGTATCTCCCGCTCCCGCGCCCCCCGCTGTGGCGGCGGCGACTGCACCGCCCCTCCTCCTCCCCCCCCCCGCCCCCTGCCCCCGTCCCTGCTGTGGCACCGGAGGCAGCAGCGGTGGTGGTGGCAGCGGCGGCAGCGGCGCCAGTGCGGTTGATAAGGCGCCAGTTGATGAGGGGGTCGTACATGAAGGCCTCCATCATGGCCAGCACCGAGTCCTTGTGCTGCCGCAGCACCGCCATCACCGCCTCGCACGTGAACCGGAACGTGCCCTCGATGCCGCTCACCTCCATGGCCTTCACCAGCATGCGCGTCAGCCGGAAGGGAAACTTCTCGGGGAACTTCTCGCGGTGCATGGATGACTCGAAGCAGTCGCCGAAGTCGATGTGGATGATCTTGCCGCTGTATCGGTCCAGCATGAGGTTGCTGGGGTGGCGATCGCCCAGTCCCAGAATATACCCCACCATGCTCATCACTGCCAGGCTCCGCGTGTAGTTGCACCGCCGGTCCAGCCACACCTCGGCACTGCGGCTCTTGAGCCAGAGCACCCGAGCTAGATCATTCCCCGGCGTGCTGTCGAGTGCGTGCTCAAACGCCTCCACCTTCCCGATGACTGTGAGGTGGTCGTAGTCCGGCGCGAAGCTGAGGATGAGGCGGCGCTCGAGGTTCACAGCGATGTTGTGCGCCTCGCGGTACTCCTGGATCAGCTGGTGCATCGTGTCGCAGTGCGGTAACCACCCGATCAGCCCGATGTTCGGCGACAGCGGCACCACCGCGTACCGCTCGATCGACAAGTCCTTGTCTGCAGCTGACCTGGCGCCTCCCAGGAGGGTGTTCACCAGTCCAAACAGCTGCATCACGCGCTCATCCAGCCGCAGATCCTCGTGCCCCTTCAGCAGGAACACGTATTCTCGACCGTCGGATCCCAGGATCGAGATCTTCCTCGGCCGCTGCTTCGAAGTGATCACCAGCAGCTGCGGCGCGAACCCTGCGATGGTCACCACGGGCCGCCCGGCGCGGTACGTCCCCGGGACGGCCAGCGCGAGGTCTCTCGCGTTGACGAGCGCGGGAGCCACCTGTAGGAGCTCCAGCGTGGTGAGGGCGGGCAGCTGCTTGTTGATGCGCTTGAACACGTGGTAGTACAGGTCCCACGCCTGGGTCAGCTCTGCTTCTCGTCCCGTCCGCCTGTAGTTGGCGCAGCACTCTGCAGCTTCCGCCAGCTCCCTGCCGTACGAATCGACAAACGAGGCCTCGGTGCTGGTCTCAGGGCCCGCTGTTTCCAGCAGCGCGTGCAGCGGCGCCAGCACGGCCAGCATGCCGTCCACGTTGCGCTCACCGAAGTACAGCCGGGACGCTTCCTCCAGCGCCTCATGCCACATCTCGTGCCACAGGATGGCCACGCGGATGAGCTCCACCGACACCAGCTGGGCGGCTTCCACCAGAGCGGCGGAGTGCGAGCGGATATTGTCGAGCACTGCTTGGGCGGCAGCGCAGCGGGAGAGCGACATGGACTTGCAGGCGACGAGCAGAGGGAACATGAGGGTCTGAGGGTGGTGCCGCCCCACGCGGATGAGCAATGATTGCACGAGGCTGCGCACGGCGGGCACGTTGTTGTGGATGCGCGCAATGATCTGCGGAATCACGTGCAGCCACGTGTCGATGTTCACGTGCGCGAAGCCCTCCTGTAGCGCCGCCTGCACGTCAGCTGTAGCCCCGTACCGGAACCACAGGGTCAGTAACCGGAGAATGTCCTGCAGACTGTCCCCTGCGCCCTTCCCTGACCCTAGCCCCTTGGCTATCGCACCACTCGCCATCCCCTTCCCGTCCCCAGCCCCTCCCGCCCCCCCCCCACCCGCCACACCAGCAGCAGCAAACACCGCTCTTCCCCCACCTTGACTCGCCGTCCCCCCGGCCGTGGCCAGCGCAATGGACCGGAAGAACCCAGATATGGCCGCCACCAGATGCCCCTGCGCGGCCTGCGGGTTGGCCCTCTGAGTGAAGTGCGTCATGGCTGCCGTGTTGAACAGCGCCCACCGGTGCCACGCCTTGCCCCACCCCGGCGCCAGCTCCGTTGCCGCCCGCAGGGACACGCCAATTTCGGCCACGGAGGCGTCGGAGAGAGCGGGGTGCAGCGACCACTGCCACGTGCCCAGCTTGAGGTACACGCGGGAGAGCAAGGGAGCGCTGTGAGTCATGCTGCTGCCCTCCGCTGCTGCTGCTCCCACCCACCCTGCTGCTGCTGCTGCTGGTTGTGCTGCATGGGAGAGGGAGGAGGAGGAGGGGGGAAGGCCTGGGATGGCAGTGGGGGGAGGCGACACAGACGCAGGCACGGAGAAAGACGAGGACGCTAGCGTTGTCCCGCCACCCATGCCCCCACCCATCATTAGCCCAGTCGTTCCTCCCAGCCCCATGGCGCCAGGTGTCGCACAGTGAGTGGCTGCGAGAGCAGCAGCGAGGTCCTGCAGGCAGCGGAAGGCGTTGCGGCGGTTGACGTCGGAGGCGAGCGCCCAGGCGTACTTGAGGTACGCAAAGACCACGTGCGGCATGGCGGGCGTGAGGAGCGGGGAGGAGGACGGAGGCTGGTAGGAGAGTGAGGAGGAGGTGGGGAAGGGGAGAGAAGAGGAGGGGAAGGGGAGGGAGGCTGGGATTGCCACGACCGCTGCGGCGGCGGTTAGCATGTCGTTGCTGCTGCTGCCAGCGCTGCCGATGCTCATTCCCCCCCCCACGCCCATCCCACCCATGCCGCCCAGCGCTCCTCCCAGCCCTGCCCCGGCCCTCACCCCCACCGACGGCAGCCGCAGCAGCGGCACTGCTCCCACCGCCCCTGCACCGGCCACCACCGCCAGTCCACCGCCCGGAGTGCCGATGCTGGTAACCGCGCCCCCCTCCCCCTCCTGCACCTCCAGCCCCAGCATCCTCGCCCCTGCAGGGTCGTGCTGCAGCAGGCGTAGCAGCGTGGCGCGCGCCTGGCTGACCCGGCCACTCTTGCGGCAGAGCGAGGCGAACTTGAGCCAAGTGTGGGCGTCCTGCTGCATGGGCAGCACCAGCGATCGCACCGCCAGGAGCGCCTGCCACACGTCCACGTTGCGCTGGGCGCCCTTGATCCGCTCCCGCCACATCTGGCGAATCAGGGCCTTCCGAGCCTCCACCTCCACTGCTCCCATGTGGCCCTCCTCCCCTCCCAACCCCAACGCCCCTCCCTCCATCCCTGCTAGCTCACCTCCCACGCCGCCTACTCCCACTCCCCCTCCTGCGTCTGCCCCCAGCAGGCAGTAGTCTATGACCTCCTCGAGCTCTGATAACTGCTGCACCCTCACCACATCCCCATACGCACGCTCATAGCTCTCCAGTACTAAAGCTGCCAGCTCAGTCGCCAGAAGCTTCCGCGCTCTTTCCACGTACTCCCTCGCCTCCCCAAACGCCCCGTGCCGCACCGCCAGCACGGCTCGGAAAAACGCCCCGTCGCTCCGCCCCGACCCCGAACCTACCCCCGAACCTCCCGCCAAGTTATGGTGCTGCTGCATCGGCATCAGCGCGCCGAACCTCCCTCCCCCACCCCCACCCATGCCGCCAAACCCTCCGATTGACACCCCTGCATCGTCCCCCCCATCAGGCAGCACAGACACATACTCTGCCATGTCGTCCCACCGCCCCATGTTCCACGCTGCTCCTGCCCCCAGCGGCGCCATCTGCATGCGCGCGGCGCGCTCCGCAGGCGGCCACGCCTCATGGCACAGTGAGGCGAGCTCCTCCCAGCGCGCCAGCGCCCCCAGGCACCGCATGCGCCCCAGCGTGGCGTCCAGCAGCGCCGCTGCCGCCGCCGATGCTGCTGACGCCGACACCGGCATGCCGCCATGCACCCCCCCGGCAGCAGCAGCGCCGGATGGTAACATCCCCATCGGCCCACCCCCCCCGCCCCCTCCCCCTCCGCCACCCACTCCCCCGCCTCCCCCCATGGCAACCACAGCAGCGGCAGCACGCCTTTCATAGGCGGCGAGGGCGTCCTGCCAGCGCTGCAGCTTCTCGTACCAAGGCTCCTTGAGCTCCACGGCCAGGTGGCGCTGCGCGTACACCAGCATGCCCACGGCCGCCTCGTGCTGCTGCAGCTGGTTGTTGATGTGGATCAAGGCCTCCACCGTGGCCGCTGGGTCCACCTCAAACTCCATCTCCTTGTAGTGCAACGCCTTGGCGAACGCGTGGCACTTCTCGGCCAGGGCGCCCAGGGTGCGGATGTCGACGGGGAGAGGGCACTCGTTCTGCTCCATGAACTCGGCCAGGTTGAGCAGGGTGGCCAGGATCTCCGGGGGGATGTTGGGCGACGCGAACGCCGCTTCCAGCGAGTGCACCAGCTGGTCGCGGCTGCCGTCGTTCAGCTCCTGCCAGCAGCTCACGAACCCCACCGCGAAGAGTTCTCGAGCCACGTGCGGCTGCAGGGGCGCGAGGGTGGCGCACGTGCGGAGCGCCGGGGAGGGGGATTCCTTGAGGAGTTCGACGCTGAAGTGGCGCATCCACTCCGCCCAGTCCTCGCGCGTGCTGCGCTGCGACGACTCCCACGCCTTCCGCAGCTGCCCCTCGTTTACTCGTAGCGCGCCCGACACCGTGAGGGAAGAGGTGCTGCCTCCGCCGCCTCCTCGGGTGGCGCCGCCTGGGCCGCCGGCGCTGCCGACGGCGTCAAGGGACGAGCCCATGCCGTCGAAGCCCCAGTCCTCGTCGAACACCACCGCCGAGTTCAACGGCCCCCCTCCTGGACCGCCACCGCCTCCGCCGCCGCCCCCCAAGCCACCACCGCCAGCACCAGCGCCGGTGCCCCCCCCACCCCTGCCTCCCGCTCCCCCTCCCCCCCCGCCCTGCCCACCCGTGCCCCCCTGCCCTCCCCCCTGCGTCCCCCCCGCTCCCCCCCCCCCTCCCCCACCTCCCCCCTGCGCGGCCAGGTTATCTGAGCTCCCCCAGACGCTCCCCCCGGCAACAGAAGCGGAGGAGGCAACGCGGGGGAGGGCGGAGGAGTTGGAGGCGGAGGGGAGGAGGTCGAGCAGCAGCGAGGGGTCGCGGCGCAGCAGGCACGCGGAGATGGAGTCGAACCGCGCGTTGGAGAGGCGGTGGCGCGAGAGCAGGCGGCGGATGGTGGGGATGAACGCGGCGAAGTCAGGGCCCTGGGGGGGGAGGGGGGGGGTGTGGTGGGGGGAGAGTAGAGCGACACATGCATTTGTGATTCAAAAGGGGGAGCAGGCGGCGGATGGTGGGGATGAACGCGGCGAAGTCGGGGCCCTGGGGAAAGGGAAAGAAGGGAGGGGGGAGGGAGGGAGGGAAGAAGGGAGGGGGGAGGGAGGGAGGGAAGAAGGGAGGGGGAGGGAGGGAGGGAAGAAGGGAGGGGGGAGGGAGGGAGGGAAGAAGGGAGGGGGGAGGGAGGGAGGGAAGAAGGGAGGGGGGATTCAAGAAGCAGGGAGGGAGGGAGGGAGGGAGGGAGGGAAGAAGCAGGGAGTGTCTCACACCAGAATTGAGAATAAATCAGAGTGCCATTGGCAAAGCCCAACCACACACTGCACCAACCACCAACCACCAACCCCGCTCCCCCCCCCTCGTGCCCACCTGAGCGAGCGCCAGCTCACAGATGGCGTCAGCAGCATCGCGCCTGAGCTCCTCACTGGGTCCGTCCAGCACCCGGGCCAGCGGGTGCAGGATGGCCGCCGCATGGTCCGCCACGTGCAGCAGCGGCAGCAGGCGGGTGAGCGTCCTCACGGCCGCGCGCTGGATGGGCAGCGGCACGTCGGACACGCCGGGCTTGAAGAGGCGCACCACGGCGGGCAGCAGCAGGTGCATGTGCTGCTCCATGCTGCTGCCCAGCACCTCGAACGCGTGCAGCACGGGCGGCACGCGCTTGTACTCGCCGCTGCGCTCCGCGTCGGCAATGACGGCCACGCAGCGCGGCAGCACCTCGGGCAGGCACGCCTTGAAGTCGTCCGGCAGCGCGCGCGCCAGCTGCTCCACCAGGTTCAGCACGGGGGAGGGCGCGGGGGGCCGCGGGAACACGGAGAGCAGCAGCGGGTGCCAGAAGTCGAAGATGAGTGCGGTGACCTCCGGGAGGTACTTGCGGATGTGCTGCCGCACGATGGTCACCAGCTGCGCCAGCTGCCAGAAGAGGAACTCCCTCAGGCTCTCGTCGCACGACCGCATCACGTGGAACAGCTCGGGTAGCACCCGGGGGAGGTACGGCACGCAGGCCAGCCCCATGGAGCGGAAGATGAACATGAGCGAGCTCACCACGCGCAGGTGGTAGGCGGCCAGGGCGCCGTCTCGCAGGATGCGCAGCAGCGCGGAGATGGCCACCGTGGAGTAGTACTCGTCCGTGAGCCCCCCTGCCGGGGGGATGTCTACGAGGGTGTCATCGCCAGCTATGCCACCCATGCGGTCGAATCCGGTGAGCACACGCGGGGGTTGTAGAGGCCCCACTGCCCCCCCTGCCCCCCCTGCGCCCCCTGCACCCCCCCCTCCTGCTGCCCCTCCTCTCCCCCCCCTCCCCCCGCCCCTCCTCCCACTACTCCTCCCCCTCCCGCTCCCCCAACCCCGCCTCCCCCACCTGCTGCAGCCCCGCCACCACCTCCCCCTGCGCCTGCTCCCCCTACAGCGTCCCCCCGGCCCTCCATGCCGCCCTCCGCGGCCATGGCTTGCGGCAGCAGCAGCAGCTGGTTGCGCTTGTTGACGTGCGGGTCCAACGCACCCAGAATGCCCAGCACCTGCAGCACCGACCGCCGCATGGACCACGCCAGCTGCCCGTTGAGCATCGACAGAAGTAACCCTAAAAGCTGGGGGTACTGCCGGTATGGCGCCACAACACACCCTGTGCTTTCCACCACTTGCCCCAGCGTCACCACCGCCACCTCCCTCCTCTCCCCGGGCCCCGGCCCGGTGCTATCGTGCAAGGAATCCACTATGAGCGGCATTAGGTCCGGCACGTAGGGCGTGAGCGCGCTCCCTGCCACCTTCGCCAGCTCCCCTACCGTCGCCAGCATTGAGGCCACCACCCCGCTCGTCCCCCCCCCGCCCACCGTCCCCACCGCCGCTGCGTGCGCCGCTGAAATGGCTTTGAGCCGCGCCACAAACACCTTGAGGATGGGCGCGATGTAAGGCGCGACCAGCGGCGTGCACGAGTGGATCAAACACCGCAGCAGCCTCGCGCCATCCTCCCTCAACCTGCTATCGCTGCTGTGCTCCACGTCCACCAGCAGCTGCACCAGGTGCCGCCTCAGCGCCGGGAGGACATACGCGGGGTTGCGGCCGGCCAGCCTGCCTGCCAGCAGCACGGCCTGCTCCCTCACGTCGTAGCTCTCGTCGTTGAGCGCGATGAAGAGCGCCCGCACGCACTCCGCCTGCGCCAGGAACGAGTCCAGAGCCGCGGAGGCCGGCGCCGCGAGGCAGGAGAGCACGGCCTTGCGCACGCCCGCGTCCACGTCGGCCACAGACGCCACGAGGAGGCGCTCCAGCATGTCCTCCACCACGCCGCGGCGTTTTTTCCGCATGCCCGGCTGCAGCAGCAGCTGCTGGGCTATCCTCTGCACCCGGCTTGCCGCCCCACTGCTGCTGCCCCTCCCGCTGCCGCCGCCCACACCGCCCGAAACGGCCCCTCCCGCCCTCCCGTTCCCTCCCCCGCCACCAGCAGCGCCAGGGGGAGCTGCGCCCGCGCCTCGTGATTCCGCCTGGGGAGCGGGCGAGGGCGCGGGGGAGGGGGCAGGGGGGCCGTTGAGGGCGGCGGCGGTGTGGGCGAGGACGTGCGCGCAGCACACTGCGGCCTCCCTCCTCGTGGCGGCGTCGTCGTCCTCCAGGTACCGCACCACGTGCAGCCGCGCCAGCTCCAGCAGGTCGTGCCCCGAGAAGTCAAACGAGTACAGCGTGCACAGCGCCAGCTGTGTTACCCCGGATATGGACAGCTCCCCGATGCCGTTACCCCCGCCTCCGCCACTCCCGCTGCCGCCTGCTCCGCCTCCTCCCCCTGTCAGCGCGCCGCTCGCGAGGCTGCTCAGGCTCGCGCTTCCCCCGAGCGTGAGCGAGCCGCCTGATCCGCTCCCGCTTCCGCCTGCGCCCGCGGGGGGGCGTGCGCCCGTCAACGAGCCGAACGCGCCACCCGCGCTGCCCGCGCTGGTTCCGATCCGCGCGGAGGGCTTGCGCGCGAGGACGGCGGAGATGGCCTCCAAGAGCTGTGATTGGACGAGCGGCTTGAGCGCGGGGAGATGCGCGGAGATGTGCGAAAGCGTGTGCACGAGGGGAAGCGAGAGCCCCGTGTGCAGGCACACGGGGAGCAGCTCGCGCGCAACCTCGCGCATGTCTTCCCCCACCGCCGCCACCAGCTGCCCCACGCACGTCAGCGCTTCCACGGACGCGCGCCCGCGGCGGGGAGCCAGCGCCTCGCGGAGCAGCGCGGAGATCGCGGGGAGGTACGGGCGCAGCGCAGGGCCGACGGCGCTCGCCATCTCGCCTAGCGCCGCGAAGCCCGCGTCGCGATCGGCGGGGTTTTTCATGACGCCTAGGAGGTGGTCCATGCAGATCTTAAGATAGCTGCTGACGAAGCGGTCGCGGAGGAAGTGCGCGATGCGCGGGAGGAGCGCGGTGATGGAGCGACGGATGAGGCGCTCGCGATGGTCGCGATACTTGAGGACGATGTTCGCGACCTCCTTGTAACGCGCCATCATGAATTCGCCCGTGTTGCGAAGCATTTCGCCGATGGCGAGCAGCGAGCCGTGGATGCTCTCCACGCTCGCGCTGCGCTGAAGCCCCTTCTCCGTCTCCTCGAACAGCCGATAGTAGCCCTGCACGCGCCACCGCGTCTCGCGCTTCTCGATCACGCGCAGACACGCGCGCAACGCCTCTACAGCGCGCTCCCGCACCGCGAGCTTCGGGTCGCGCAGTGCCGCCCAGATGACGTCGATGAACGTCGGGACGTGCACGTTGAAGACCGTCGGCGCATTCGCCGCCATTTCCTTCAATATAAGCACAGCCGCGTATCGCCGCGCCTCCACGCGCTCCCCCTCGAGCCACCTCAGCGCCTCCTTCACCTGAAACTCCACCACGTCAGCAGCCATCGCGCCGCCCGCGCGTGCCACGTGTCCCAATGTCGCCGCCGCAGCGGAGATCGTATCGGCGTCCGTCTTTTCCTCGAAGATTCGCCGCAGGAACGACGCGAAGCGCGACGCCTTGGCCGCGCTTTCCCCGAGCGGCACGTCGATTAACTCGTCTATAGCGTGAACGGCGCCGAGATTGTCGGAGGGCGAGCTACTCTCTACGAGCACGTTGATCCTCTCGTAAAGCGTGTCCATGAAACGCGTAAACGCCTCGCCGCTTAAATCCCGCGCCTCCTCCTCCACGTGTTCGCGCAGCGTCAGCGCGCCCTCCTCCTTTGCCGCGTACGGCGTGCGCGTACACAGCTCCGCCAACAGCCGGCGCAGAATGTCCGCCGCCGCCCCCCTCTCGCCGCCTCCGCCTGCGCCCCCGCGGCCTGTTCCCCCCTGTCCCCCGCCTCCCCCTGCTCCCGTCCCCCCGGACGTACCGGGATGCGCCATTGCGGTCATTGCTGGGCGGCTTTTGGAACTACTGCGAATGAACGTCGTTAGTCTCTAGCGCGTACACATCGATTAGGTGGCATAAGCACGACTCTAAGGAGCGACGACGCAATAGGTCTCTAGATCGTGCAGGCTACTAGGGAGGTTCCGAGCTCATGCAGTGAGCTTGAAACGGGAATTGGAATGAAGCCTAGGAAAACGGACATCCGCGCTTATAGTTGATTCGTTTTGTGTTGGAACTCAACAGAACAATAAATATTTGTATTTCGAAACCAGAACCAACCACCAGCCATCCTTTCGATTCGAAGTCAACGGCCAAATGAATGTCTCGTGCACCAACCATCAAGGCCATCTCGTTTCAACAGACTACCAACCGCGACCCCAAGCCAACACCGCATGAGCCCATTCCGTCGCACCGTGTCGTCGGCCAACGTCTATCCCTCTTCAACGCGCGCCGCGGTTGGATCGCAGTTTCGATGACGTCACTCGCTCGATGACCTCGCGCCCCCTCTCACCGCCACCATCCCCTTCACCGCAACCTCTCCGCCCTGTCGCGTCCCCTCTCGCTCGCTCCGCGAATGCCGCTCACTCAACCAGGGCCGCCAATGGCGCAACTCCCTCGGGGGACCGCGACTCCCTCCCCTCCATCACCGCGCCGCTCGTTATCAGCCCACTAGTTGCGCCTCGGCTTGCTGATTGCGCCAGCGGCACGCGCCTCGGCAGCAATGCAGGCGGTCAAGCAGCAGGCGGCTGCGGCCCGTAGACGCGCCACTTGGCAGGTGGGGCGGTTCGGCTTTAGAGGCGGCCGGTGGGTGCGGTGGGCGACGCTACTATTGATCCCCGTGGCGTATCTCTTAACTCTCCGCATCTACCTCCTCCTGCACCCGGGCGACGCGACCAGCCACGTCAGCGGCGGAGGCTACCACGTGTCGCTGCTGCAGCTGCGCCTTAATCCTCGCGGAATGCGCGCGCTCATCCGGGGACAGGCGGGTGCGGTGGCGAACAGGGGTGCCGGGAACGGGACAGGGGGGGAAGCGAGCGCTAGTGGGGGAAAGGCGGTGCTGGATGCGCTGATGGCAGAAGGCGCGGCGGTGAAGGGGAAGGTGGGGGGCGCAATGGGCGCACAGAGCGCATTGGCGCAGCAGGTGGCTGGGGAGGGGGAGGGGAATCGGACTGGCGCAGGGGGAGCGGGCAGGGGGAGCGGGGGGGAGGAGCTGCGGACGTGGCGGAGAGAGTGGTTGAAGGAGAAGGGGGGCGGGGGAGGCGCAGGGTGGGGGGAGACAGGCGGGGGAGGGACGAGGGGGGACAGCGGTGGCAGGGATGGGGGGGATATGGCGGAGAAACGAAGGTGAGGGGGGGAGGGGGAGGGGAGAGGGGGAGAGAGGTAAGGTGGGGGATGTTATCAATGGGGGATGGTAGGGATGGCGGAGATATGGGAGAGAGGAGGTGAGGGGAGGAGGGCGAAGGTGAGGGGAGGAGGGGGAAGGTGTGGGGTGGGGAGGAGGGGGAAGGTGTGGGGCGGAGGGGGAAGGTGTGGTTGGGAGAGGTAAAGTGTGGGGAGAGAGGCGTGGCAACGTGGCATTCGTTGACCAGATTGACCAGATTGACCAGATTGACCAGATTGACTCGGTCATCACCCAGCCATGGCAGGCCATCCATTCTAACCACTCCCCCCCAGTCTGCGCGTCTCTCCCCTTCCCCCCCACACCCCATTTCTCCACCCGCCCTCTCTCCGCGCCAACCCTTTCTCCCCTCCCCATCACATCCCCCACTCCCTCTCCCCCACCCTGCCATATGTCTGGTTGGTGGAGCAAGGGAGGTTCACCTCATTTAAGGGAGGCCCACCCCCACGCTCCTGCGCAACGTGCTGCCCGCCCGCCTACCCCCCCTGCTGCGGCGCCTTCTCTCTCTTCCTCATGTTCTTCTTCCTCCGCCCCTCCCTTCTTCCTCCGCCCCTCCCTTCTTCCTCCGCCCCTCCCTTCTTCCTCCGCCCCTCCCTTCTTCCTCCGCCCCTCCCTTCTTCCTCCGCCCCTCCCACCACAAGTGGCCCTCCGTGTGCCTGGCGGAGGGTGGACCTCGCGAGTTTCACGTTACGGTCGCCACGCTTCTGCGCAGCGTGCTGCCCGCCCGCCACGTCCCCACGTCTTCCTGCTGCCTTCCTCATTCCGCCCCCCCCATCCCCCCATCAGCTTCATTCCCAGCCTCCCTCACGAGTGGCCATCTGCCTGGCCGGCGGACCATGGGAGTGCCACGGCACGGCCCGGCGCCACGTGCTGCCCGCGTGCCCTCCTTTTCATGCTCTCTGGTCTCCCCCCATCGCTTTTTCTTCCAGCCCCCCTCACGAGTGGCCATCTGCCTGGTGGGCGGCGCAAGGGAGTTCCACCTCACGGCCCCCACGCTGCTGCGCTATCTGCTGCCCGCCTACCCCTCCGCACACGTCTTCCTGCTGGCCCCCCTCGACCACTCCGCCCACCGCCTCTCCCTGCTCGCCTGGCCGCGCCTGGGGGAGGGGGCGGGGGCGGGAGGGGGAGTGGGGATGGGGGGAGGGCTGGAGATGGGGATTGGAGAAGGGGAAGGGGAAGGGGAAGGGGAAGGCCCGGGGTATTCCCTGGTGCAGGTGAGTGTGCTGCCGGACGTGCCGGTGAATGAGACAAGAATCACCAACCGGCTGTTGGAGGTGGTGGAGGGCAGTGAGGCGCAGACGCGGCAGGGGCTGATGCAGCAGTTCAAAGCGGTGGAGCTCTGCGTTACCGCCATCACGCGTTACGAGCGCGCACACGCGATCCGATACGATTGGATTCTGCGCACGCGGGTCGACGGGTACTGGATGGGCCCGCCGCCGCCCCTGGCGGTGCTGGATCCGATTGCGTACACGATCCCGGGCGGCAGCGACTGGGGCGGGCTGAACGACCGGCTGGGGATGGGCGGCAGGAAGGCGAGCTGGAAGGCGCTGCGGCGGCTGAGCGTGCTGCGGCCACTGGTGGAGCAGGGGGGATACAGCGAGCTGAACGCAGAAAGGGTCTACCTGGCGCAGATGGCGTTCCTGCAAGTGCAGGTGAGGTGCGCTGGGCGCCACATGGAAGGGCATGGAAGGGCATGGAAGGGCATGGAAGGGCATGGAAGGGCATGGAAGGGCATGGAAGGGCATGATGGAGGGAGTGAGTATGGGATGAGATGGCAAGGCCATGAGGAGGCCGAGCGTGCTGCAGTCGCTGGTGGAGGGGCGGGACGGGGGGGGTACAGCGAGCTGAATGCGGAGCGGGTTTATCTTGCGCACAGGTGGCGTTCCTGCAAGCGCAGGTGGGCGTGAGGCATGGATTGTTGGAAGGTTCTGCAGCGCTGAGTGTGTGTATGAACGCTGGGGGGGGACGTGGGGGGGCACAGTGTACAGAACGCTGAGCGTGTTAAGGCCGGTGGTGGGGAGGTGGGGGGGTACAGTGTGCTGAACGCTGAACGCGTTTACTCGTCTTGGATGGCGTTGGTGCGAGCGCAGTCTTCAGACTCAGAGTGGTGGAAGGTGCTGCCAAGGGGCTGGAATGCTTTGCATTCTCAGCTGCAAATAGGGCCTTCCGGCCTTTTCACATGTGCCTTCCATTACCCCCCCCACCCTTCCCATTGCCTTCCAACTGACCTGCGCCACTGTCCCCCCTTCCACCTCCCGCCCATGCCCCCCATGCACGTCCCCCCATGCCCCCCATGCACGTCCCCCCATGCCCCCCATGCACGTCCCCCCATGCCCCCCATGCACGTCCCCCCATGCCCCCCATGCACGTCCCCCCATGCCCCCCATGCACGTCCCCCCATGCCCCCCATGCACGTCCCCCCATGCCCCGCATGCACGTCCCCCCTTCCCCCCATGCACGTCCCCCCATGCACGTCCCCCCTTCCCCCATGCACGTCCCCCCATGCCCCCCATGCACGTCCCCCCATGCCCCCCATGCACGTCCCCCCATGCCCCCCATGCACGTCCCCCCATGCCCCCCATGCACGTCCCCCCTTCCCCCCATGCAGGTGGCGCGCTACGACTTCCCCTTCTGCATCCTCAGCCGCAAGAAGGGCCTCCCTGCCTTCCCCGTCGCCGCCTCCCTCTCCTCCACCTCCGCCGCCCTCAACGGCGCCAAGTGTCGCCCGTGCCGCCCCACCGTGGTCGGCGGCCAGGCGGCAAAGTACATCCTCGCCCTCCCGGAGCGAATCTTCGGCGCACAGCCCCACGGGATCGACCTATGTCGAGCCGAGGACGACTGGGCGGCAGACTGGAGGGAGATCTTCGACAGGGATGCGGGGGCAGTGGCAGCAGCGGTGCGGCAGTACTCGGAGAGCCGCACCTTTGAGGAATGTGTGGAGGACTGGCGGCACTTCAGGCAGCAAGTCGACGTGTGGGATGCGCCCCCGCCCGTGTCTATCTGCGTGCGCGGGCTTCTGGGAAAGTTCCACAAGATGGGGTATCCGGGGGGAGATTTCCCGGTGTTTTTGGACCCGTGGGTGCCGCCGAGGGAGGGGAGGAGGGGACGGAAGCCGGTGGTGTATTCGGTGGTGGCGGGGGTGGATTACAGCCTGGACTGGGCTCTAATGCGGAAGCTGCGGTGCCGCGTGCACGCGTTTGACAGCACGCCAGAGGGGCTGCGGTGGATAGGAGACAAGATAGACAACCTGCCGCCCGCGTCCTGGGTGCACCACGCGTGGATGCTGGGGCCGGAGGACCGCCCTCTCAAGGTGCGGTTGCTCACGGTGTGGTGACGCGTGCTGGGGCCGGATGATTGCCCTCTAAAGGTGCGGTTGCTCACGGTGTGGTGCCGCGTGCTGGGGCCGGATGATCGCTCTCTCAAGGTGCTGGGGCCGGATGATCGCTCTCTCAAGGTGCTGGGGCCGGATGATCGCCCTCTCAAGGTGCTGGGGCCGGGTGATCGCCCTCTCAAGGTGTCTCTGAGAAACTGCTGCGGCCATCTTGGGTCCACCATGCATGGCTGCTCACCCTTCACTCGATGTTGCCCCATCACCATGCGTCCATGTGGCCCCATCACCATGCGTCCATGTGGCCCCATCACCATGCGTCCATGTGGCCCCATCACCATGCGTCCATGTGGCTCCATCACCATGCGTCCATGTGGCCCCATCACCATGCGTCCATGTGGCCCCATCACCATGCGTCCATGTGACCCCATCACCATGCGTCCATGTGACCCCATCACCATGCGTCCATGTGGCCCCATCACCATGCGTCCATGTGACCCCATCACCATGCGTCCATGTGGCCCCATCACCATGCGTCCATGTGACCCCATCACCATGCGTCCATGTGACCCCATCACCATGCGTCCATGTGACCCCATCACCATGCGTCCATGTGACCCCATCACCATGCGTCCATGTGACCCCATCACCATGCGTCCATGTGGCCCCATCACCATGCGTCCATGTGACCCCATCACCATGCGTCCATGTGACCCCATCACCATGCGTCCATGTGGCCCCAAAACCATGCGTCCATGTGACCCCATCACCATGCGTCCATGTGGCCCCATCACCATGCGTCCATGTGACCCCATCACCATGCGTCCATGTGACCCCATCACCATGCGTCCATGTGGCCCCATCACCATGCGTCCATGTGACCCCATCACCATGCGTCCATGTGACCCCATCACCATGCGTCCATGTGACCCCATCACCATGCGTCCATGTGGCCCCATCACCATGCGTCCATGTGACCCCATCACCATGCGTCCATGTGGCCCCATCACCATGCGTCCATGTGACCCCATCACCATGCGTCCATGTGATCCCATCACCATGCGTCCATGTGACCCCATCACCATGCGTCCATGTGGCCCCATCACCATGCGTCCATGTGGCCCCATCACCATGCGTCCATGTGACCCCATCACCATGCGTCCATGTGGCCCCATCACCATGCGTCCATGTGTCTCCATCACCATGCGTCCATGTGACCCCATCACCATGCGTCCATGTGGCCCCATCACCATGCGTCCATGTGACCCCATCACCATGCGTCCATGTGGCCCCATCACCATGCGTCCATGTGACCCCATCACCATGCGTCCATGTGGCCCCATCACCATGCGTCCATGTGACCCCATCACCATGCATCCATGTGACCCCATCACCATGCGTCCATGTGACCCCATCACCATGCGTCCATGTGGCCCCAAAACCATGCGTCCATGTGACCCCATCACCATGCGTCCATGTGGCCCCATCACCATGCGTCCATGTGGCCCCATCACCATGCGTCCATGTGACCCCATCACCATGCGTCCATGTGACCCCATCACCATGCGTCCATGTGGCCCCATCACCATGCGTCCATGTGACCCCATCACCATGCGTCCATGTGACCCCATCACCATGCGTCCATGTGGCCCCATCACCATGCGTCCATGTGGCCCCATCACCATGCGTCCATGTGACCCCATCACCATGCGTCCATGTGCACCCATGCGTCCATGTGGCCCCATCACCATGCGTCCATGTGGCTCCATCACCATGCGTCCATGTGGCCCCATCACCATGCGTCCATGTGGCCCCATCACCATGCGTCCATGTGACCCCATCACCATGCGTCCATGTGACCCCATCACCATGCGTCCATGTGACCCCATCACCATGCGTCCATGTGGCCCCATCACCATGCGTCCATGTGACCCCATCACCATGCGTCCAAGTGGCCCCATCACCATGCGTCCATGTGGCCCCATCACCATGTGTCCATGTGACCCCATCACCATGCGTCCATGTGGCCCCATCACCATGCGTCCATGTGACCCCATCACCATGCGTCCATGTGGCCCCAAAACCATGCGTCCATGTGCCCCATCACCATGCGTCCATGTGACCCCATCACCATGCGTCCATGTGACCCATCACCATGCGTCCATGTGACCCCATCACCATGCGTCCATGTGACCCCATCACCATGCGTCCATGTGGCCCCATCACCATGCGTCCATGTGACCATCACCATGCGTCCATGTGGCCCCATCACCATGCGTCCATGTGTCTCCATCACCATGCGTCCATGTGACCCCATCACCATGCGTCCATGTGGCCCCATCACCATGCGTCCATGTGACCCCATCACCATGCGTCCATGTGGCCCCATCACCATGCGTCCATGTGACCCCATCACCATGCGTCCATGTGACCCCATCACCATGCGTCCATGTGGCCCCATCACCATGCGTCCATGTGACCCCATCACCATGCGTCCATGTGACCCCATCACCATGCGTCCATGTGACCCCATCACCATGCGTCCATGTGGCCCCATCACCATGCGTCCATGTGACCCCATCACCATGCGTCCATGTGACCCCATCACCATGCGTCCATGTGACCCCATCACCATGCGTCCATGTGACCCCATCACCATGCGTCCATGTGGCCCCATCACCATGCGTCCATGTGACCCCATCACCATGCGTCCATGTGGCCCCATCACCATGCGTCCATGTGGCCCCGTCACCATGCGTCCATGTGACCCCATCACCATGCGTCCATGTGACCCCATCACCATGCGTCCATGTGACCCCATCACCATGCGTCCATGTGGCCCATCACCATGCGTCCATGTGACCCCATCACCATGCGTCCATGTGACCCCATCACCATGCGTCCATGTGACCCCATCACCATGCGTCCATGTGACCCCATCACCATGCGTCCATGTGGCCCCATCACCATGCGTCCATGTGACCCCATCACCATGCGTCCATGTGGCCCCATCACCATGCGTCCATGTGGCCCCGTCACCATGCGTCCATGTGACCCCATCACCATGCGTCCATGTGGCCCCATCACCATGCGTCCATGTGACCCCATCACCATGCGTCCATGTGGCCCCATCACCATGCGTCCATGTGACCCCATCACCATGCGTCCATGTGGCCCCAAAACCATGCGTCCATGTGACCCCATCACCATGCGTCCATGTGGCCCCAAAACCATGCGTCCATGTGACCCCATCACCATGCGTCCATGTGGCCCCATCACCATGCGTCCATGTGGCCCCATCACCATGCGTCCATGTGACCCCATCACCATGCGTCCATGTGACCCCATCACCATGCGTCCATGTGACCCCATCACCATGCGTCCATGTGACCCCATCACCATGCGTCCATGTGACCCCATCACCATGCGTCCATGTGACCCCATCACCATGCGTCCATGTGACCCCATCACCATGCGTCCATGTGGCCCCATCACCATGCGTCCATGTGGCCCCATCACCATGCGTCCATGTGACCCCATCACCATGCGTCCATGTGGCCCCATCACCATGCGTCCATGTGACCCCATCACCATGCGTCCATGTGACCCCATCACCATGCGTCCATGTGGCCCCATCACCATGCGTCCATGTGACCCCATCACCATGCGTCCAAGTGGCCCCATCACCATGCGTCCATGTGGCCCCATCACCATGCGTCCATGTGACCCCATCACCATGCGTCCATGTGGCCCCATCACCATGCGTCCATGTGACCCCATCACCATGCGTCCATGTGGCCCCAAAACCATGCGTCCATGTGGCCCCATCACCATGCGTCCATGTGACCCCATCACCATGCGTCCATGTGACCCCATCACCATGCGTCCATGTGACCCCATCACCATGCGTCCATGTGACCCCATCACCATGCGTCCATGTGGCCCCATCACCATGCGTCCATGTGACCCCATCACCATGCGTCCATGTGGCCCCATCACCATGCGTCCATGTGTCTCCATCACCATGCGTCCATGTGACCCCATCACCATGCGTCCATGTGGCCCCATCACCATGCGTCCATGTGACCCCATCACCATGCGTCCATGTGGCCCCATCACCATGCGTCCATGTGACCCCATCACCATGCGTCCATGTGGCCCCAAAACCATGCGTCCATGTGACCCCATCACCATGCGTCCATGTGGCCCCATCACCATGCGTCCATGTGACCCCATCACCATGCATCCATGTGACCCCATCACCATGCGTCCATGTGACCCCATCACCATGCGTCCATGTGGCCCCAAAACCATGCGTCCATGTGGCCCCATCACCATGCGTCCATGTGACCCCATCACCATGCGTCCATGTGACCCCATCACCATGCGTCCATGTGGCCCCATCACCATGCGTCCATGTGACCCCATCACCATGCGTCCATGTGGCCCCAAAACCATGCATCCATGTGACCCCATCACCATGCGTCCATGTGGCCCCATCACCATGCGTCCATGTGGCCCCATCACCATGCGTCCATGTGACCCCATCACCATGCGTCCATGTGACCCCATCACCATGCGTCCATGTGACCCCATCACCATGCGTCCATGTGACCCATCACCATGCGTCCATGTGACCCCATCACCATGCGTCCATGTGACCCCATCACCATGCGTCCATGTGACCCCATCACCATGCGTCCATGTGACCCCATCACCATGCGTCCATGTGACCCCATCACCATGCGTCCATGTGACCCCATCACCATGCGTCCATGTGGCCCCATCACCATGCGTCCATGTGACCCCATCACCATGCGTCCATGTGGCCCCATCACCATGCGTCCATTTGGCCCCATCACCATGCGTCCATGTGACCCCATCACCATGCGTCCATGTGACCCCATCACCATGCGTCCATGTGGCCCCATCACCATGCGTCCATGTGACCCCATCACCATGCGTCCATGTGACCCCATCACCATGCGTCCATGTGACCCCATCACCATGCGTCCATGTGACCCCATCACCATGCGTCCATGTGGCCCCATCACCATGCGTCCATGTGACCCCATCACCATGCGTCCATGTGGCCCCATCACCATGCGTCCATGTGGCCCCATCACCATGCGTCCATGTGGCCCCATCACCATGCGTCCATGTGACCCCATCACCATGCGTCCATGTGGCCCCATCACCATGCGTCCATGTGACCCCATCACCATGCGTCCATGTGACCCCATCACCATGCGTCCATGTGGCCCCATCACCATGCGTCCATGTGACCCCATCACCATGCGTCCAAGTGGCCCCATCACCATGCGTCCATGTGGCCCCATCACCATGCGTCCATGTGACCCCATCACCATGCGTCCATGTGGCCCCATCACCATGCGTCCATGTGACCCCATCACCATGCGTCCATGTGGCCCCATCACCATGCGTCCATGTGGCCCCATCACCATGCGTCCATGTGACCCCATCACCATGCGTCCATGTGACCCCATCACCATGCGTCCATGTGGCCCCATCACCATGCGTCCATGTGACCCCATCACCATGCGTCCATGTGGCCCCAAAACCATGCGTCCATGTGACCCCATCACCATGCGTCCATGTGGCCCCATCACCATGCGTCCATGTGGCCCCATCACCATGCGTCCATGTGACCCCATCACCATGCGTCCATGTGACCCCATCACCATGCGTCCATGTGACCCCATCACCATGCGTCCATGTGACCCCATCACCATGCGTCCATGTGACCCCATCACCATGCGTCCATGTGACCCCATCACCATGCGTCCATGTGACCCCATCACCATGCGTCCATGTGACCCCATCACCATGCGTCCATGTGACCCCATCACCATGCGTCCATGTGACCCCATCACCATGCGTCCATGTGGCCCCATCACCATGCGTCCATGTGACCCCATCACCATGCGTCCATGTGGCCCCATCACCATGCGTCCATTTGGCCCCATCACCATGCGTCCATGTGACCCCATCACCATGCGTCCATGTGACCCCATCACCATGCGTCCATGTGGCCCCATCACCATGCGTCCATGTGACCCCATCACCATGTGTCCATGTGACCCCATCACCATGCGTCCATGTGACCCCATCACCATGTGTCCATGTGACCCCATCACCATGCGTCCATCCATGCCGCCCCATCACCTTGCCAAAAGATAATGGAAGTGGTTAGGCCCCAGCATTGGTAGGGTGATCGCACACCCCCCCATACGCTCACATCCCCCACCATACACTCGCATTCCCCCCCATACACTCGCATACCCCCCCATACACTAGCATACCTCCCCATACACTCGCATACCTCCCAATACCAGGTGCACCCATATGAAAGGCCACACTAGCGAGCAGGGCCTAGAGCCCCGACCCCACATTCACCCCCCTCACTCTCCCCACTCCCCATGTCCCCCCACGCCTTCCACTTACTTAACCAGGTGTACCCTTTGGACTTGAAATACCACCCCATTAGATCCGCCCTACAGCGCCCACCCACATGGACCTCGTCGCTGCTGCCCCTCCCAAAGCGACACAGCGGCATTCCTCTTCCCCCTCCCCACTCTCCCCCTCCCCACTTTCCCCCTCCCCACTTTCCCCCTCCCCACTTTCCCCCTCCCCACTTTCCCCCTCCCCAGTTTCCCCCTCCCCAGTTTCCCCCTCCCCAGTTTCCCCCTCCCCACTTTCCCCCTCCCCAGTTTCCCCCTCCCCACTTTCCCCCTCCCCACTTTCCCCCTCCCCACTTTCCCCCTCCCCACTTTTCCCCTCCCCACTTTCCCCCTCCCCACTTTCCCCCTCCCCACTTTCCCCCTCCCCACTTTCCCCACCAGGTGCACCCCCTAGACATCGCTGACCACCCCATAGAGTATGCTTTGGAGCCCCCCCTCACATGGACGCCTCGTTGCTGTCCCACTCCTAATGCTCCCCACACTTCTCTCCCCCTCCTTCACTCCATACCAGGTGCACCCCCTAGACATCGCAGACCACCCCATGGAGTACGCCCTAGAGCCCCCCCCCCACATGGACGCCTCGTCACTGCTGCCACCCATCCACGTGGAGGCCATGACAGTGGAAGCTACCATGAAGCTTCTCAACCACTCCATCGTGGACATCTTGAGAATCGGCGGGCACGTGTCGCTGCACGAAGCCATCTTCCAGGCGTGGATTCACGCCAAGCGCGCCCCGCCCGTATGCCAGGTACGCCACGCATGCATGGCTTGGCTGTCGGCCATCCAAGGAATGGCACTGGCAAGCCTCTCAGCCACGGCCTGCCCTCCCAGAATGAATGCACGGCCTGCCCTCCCTGAATGAATGCACGGCCTGCCCTCCCTGAATGAATGCACGGCCTGCCCTCCCTGAATGAATGCACGGCCTGCCACTCCCTGAATGAATGCACGGCCTGCCCTCCCTGAATGAATGCACGGCCTGCCCTCCCTGAATGAATGCACGGCCTGCCCTCCCTGAATGAATGCACGGCCTGCCCTCCCTGAATGAATGCACGGCCTGCCCCTCCCAGAATGAATGCACATTCTGAGAAACGGTGGGCATGTGGCCGTCTTCCGGGCTTCGCCGCCTGTGTGCCAGGTATGCTCATCCTGCCGCCCGTATGCCAGGTATGCTCATCCTGCCGCCCGTATGCCAGGTATGCTCATCCTGCCGCCCGTATGCCAGGTATGCTCATCCTGCCGCCCGTATGCCAGGTATGCTCATCCTGCCGCCCGTATGCCAGGTATGCTCATCCTGCCGCCCGTATGCCAGGTATGCTCATCCTGCCGCCCGTATGCCAGGTATGCTCATCTTGCCGCCCGTATGCCAGGTATGCTCATCCTGCCGCCCGTATGCCAGGTATGCTCATCCTGCCGCCCGTATGCCAGGTGTGCGCATCCTGCCGCCTTATGCCAGGTGTGCTCATCCTGCCGCCTGTATGCCAGGTATGCTCATCCTGCCGCCCATATGCCAGGTATGCTCATCCTGCCGCCCGTATGCCAGGTGTGCGCATCCTGCCGCCTTATGCCAGGTATGCTCATCCTGCCGCCCTATGCCAGGTATGCTCATCCTGCCGCCCGTCTGCCAGGTATGCTCATCCTGCTGCACTGTGCCAGGTATGCTCATCCTGCCGCCCGTCTGCCAGGTATGCTCATCCTGCCGCCCGTACGTCAGGTATGCTCATCCTGCCGCCCATATGCCAGGTATGTGCATCGTGCCGCCCGTATGCCAGGTATGCATGAGTTGAGTTGAGGTAAAAGGATGCAGCGTGCAACTTGTGTGGCAGTCTTGGTGTCGCTGCATGAAGCCATTTGCAGGCCGTGTATGCAGGCCAAGGGCCCCCTGCTCACATTAAAGATATGTATGGTTGGAGTGGGGGAAAGATGGTGCAGTGCGCAGCGCATGAGCCTGTCTTGGTGTGTCCCGGCATGACATGAGGTGAAGTAAGCCATGATAGAAGGGTGCACCAAGCGTGCTGCACCAAGCATGAAGTAAGTGCACCAAGCGTGCTGCACCCATATGTGAGGCAGGCCAAGCATTCTCGTCTCAAGCTCCTGTTCTCCAGGTATGCATGGATTAAGAGAAAGAGAGCGTTCTTTTCTCGTTGTTGGTTATCCTCGCATCTTGCTTCCACGACCTCACTCCCTCTTGTTACCCCCACATTTGGCTTCCCAACACTCATGTCTTTAGTGCCATTTGTCTTCCACTCCACCCCTCCCACGCACATCATCAGATCATAATCTCCTTCCATCACGGCGACAAGCACTATGGGAGCGCAGAGACACAGCAGGAACTGCTCGCGTTGCGCTCGTTAGGGCTTGAGCTGGGCGTGTGTATAAGAAAGGATAAACTGTATGAAAGTTGTGTACTCTTCTCAGTACACCATTGCAAGTACGATATTACATAATGCAAAAAATTATAATTTTTAACACACGTAGTGTTTTTCAAAAATTGTGTATTGTGAAAGCGAAGCTGATTGTACTGAAGCGTTGGGCATCGTCGAAGCACGCTACTCGCCCTTCTCCAACTACATATACGTGGGTTGGAGCTCATTTACCTCCACCCATGTCTCTCATTTTTCAAACGGCTCAGTCAACCTTCCCACCCCCCCCCCCCTCTAGACAACCGCCCATCTCCAATGGACAGCCGGTCACTTGAACGGGAGCACACAACTAGGATTATGATGCGTGTATGTTTAGATTCTTATAAGCTAGTAAGCGACTATTGTACCATGCACTTGAAATGAGAACGATGCCTATTGCAAAGGACAAGAAAGCAAGCTTTCTCAATTGTGCTTTGTTATGCATGTTGGAAATATCTCAAAGAACTTAAGCGTTTCTGAAGTGTAACACTACACTCGAGGAAGACTACAAGGGAGCACGCGAGTCAACGGAGGTTACACGAGGGGGCGGACAAAGAATGCGAAAGGTCGCAACTGGAGGTTGCGACTGACCATTACAGCATCATGGATGGTAACCGAAGTAGCAATCGAGTCGCTGTGCGACTCGATAAACCGTTCCTGTAACTGTACTCTACAACTGCTTTCTTATCTTCTATATATTGCTGTATGCTTGTTTCCTTAATCAATCACTTGTTCTCACATACTAGTACAAGGGTTCAACTGCCTCAACTTCCGCTGCACTACCCCAAGTCTCAAGTCTTCACAGCTGGGACTTAGTCTCTGGAAAGATCCCAAGGGCTTTTCTCAACCCAACATGGTATGAGAGCTGGTCAGAGACCAAACTCCCAGCAACTACGTTCTATCACCAACCTGCAACTCAACTCAATTCAACGACTTCATTGATTGCAAGACATGGACAGCAAGGGCAAGAAAGTCTCTACGGGCTCACCCAGCGGCCAAGAAACTCAACACGGCAACTCTGGTCTGCACACCTCAGGACTGCAGACAGAGACCGGGACTGCTCAAGAAACAACGGGAAGAGTACCAGAGATGGTTACTCCATCTCCCTCTTCAAGCGTGGACCCCAACCTTATGGAAAGGTTCTTCAGCTTCATGTCGCACTTCGACCAGCAGCAGCAGACAAGGACACCTGCGCATTCAACACAGAGCAATGGAGGAAACATGGGATTAGCGCCGATGAGCCTCGACAACTCATCGTTTGGGCGACACAATCAAGCGCCTACCTTTGCGTCTTATCACTCTTCACCGGGGACGTTCGAGTTCATGCCGCCCCGCGCCCAACCAACAGCAGCTGCATCACAACAAACACCAAACGAGATTCTCAGTCTTCAGGCTCAATTCTCACACGTTATTAAGTTACAAACATCCTCACCGTTCAACGGACACGACTTCTTTACCTGGAGCTTCGAGTTCGAGCTGCTGATGGAGGCCGCGCATCTTCTGGGATACTTCAACGGGTCCCTGCCATTTCCAAGCAACGGCACTGGAAAGGAGCAAGAGATCTTCACGTATCAGTCGCTGCTGGCGTATACAGTCCTCCTGCGGAACCTGTCACCACAAGAACAGCAGAGCATCAGAACATATCGGAGTTATGGGAACTCCGCGGAACTCGCATGGCATCATCTCAAGTGCCTTTATCAAGCAAACGACAGCGTGACGCAAAGCAGACTCATGCAACAACTGACAACAATACAGATGAAGACCGGGGAAAAGGCAATGCAATATATGAGTCGATGCCAGACTCTCCGCGACCGCCTGCTTCGGTGCGGAGGAACAATCACTGAAGAAAGCTTCGTGACACTTGTCCTCGCCGGGCTCGGGCCAGAATGGAGAACCACACGATCACTTCTTCGCGCCCACGGAAGAATTTCGGAGATGCACCTCTGCGCCGAGCTTCACGCTGAACAACAGGAGATGGACCTGTTCGAAGAAAGACAACCAAGGAAGCAGCAGCAGTTAGTCTTCTACACTCAACGAAGAAACGACAACACCTACAATCGACGCAGCAAGCAAGAGCGCGACAACAGAGGACTACCTTTGTGCCGCCGTTCTGCCACAACTGTCAGACTTCCGGGCACTCCAAGGTCAACTGCAACCGCCCTCGCGTTTACCGTCCAGCAGACCCACAAGTTGCTTCAACCCAAGCAAGTCCCCCAAGACGCTCTTCAACATCTGCACAACAGACACCAAACATTATCAATTGCATGGTACACATCGACAACTGTGCACCCGGCTCACCACCCACTTACGCGCCAGACGAAGAAGAGCTCCCGCCACCACGCTCACAAGGACTTCAAGTCAATCCGACGTACGCTGCGGTCGCCAACGCCGAACCAACCGGACGAAACACCTGGTTCCTGGACAGCTGCTGCGGTCAACACATGTGCTCCTCAGGACGCTTCGTGCAACAGGAGAAACGGCTCAACCGCGACGTCGTCATCACCGTCGCCAACAACGAAAACCTGAAGACAAACAGACAAGGCGTGGTTCAGTTACAATCCATGGAGACAAACGTAATACTTCAGCTCAACAAAGTACTCATTGTCGACAATCTGGGATACAACCTACTAAGCGTAAGCCAACTAATGGCCAAGGGATTCACCTGGAGTGCGACTCCTACTCCAACGAGTTCCGGCTTTACCACGGGAAGGGCGGCCTCTTCATCGGTCGTGCCCTCCTGAAGTCCGGTGTCTTCGTGTTGGACTTTGTCCCCGACCGCGGTACTGCCGACAGCGACGGTATCGTATCGCTCGCCGCCTGGACTCACCCGCCAGATCTTGACCCGACTTCGACAGTGACGGCTTCTGGCACTCCAACACCATACCTGCAGCAGAGAGAACACGAGCATTAGCAGTTATCAGACAAGAAGCAAGTACCCCAAGGTATCCCAACCATCACCTGCACTATCGCAGCAGGACCAGCCGAGTCCACCACCGGCAGTCCGAGGACCGCCAACCGAAGCAGACCAACTTATGCCCCCACACGAGAAGCTGTCGAAGTCCCGCCTCGGTCGTCGCGTTCTTCTCCAACGCCGACATCTACCACCGCTCACCCGGACATCGCGCTCCCGACGACATCTGGCACCAACGCCTCGGGCACCCTGCAAATAGTACAATACTACAAACCATCCAAGCCGAAGTGTTAGAACGCAACGCCCTCCTAACAACGAACGGCCAAGAACTTCGACGACCTCGCGCACGGTGCTTCACGTGCCCCGAAGCAGATCTTCGTCATCAACCATTCCCATCACATCATAATCCAAGCGCGCCTGCATATGCAACGATGGAAAAAGTCTACAGCGACATCTTGAACATGCCTCGAGACGACACGGAAGCCGACTTCAACTACGTCATCACCTTCGTCGATGCAGCAACAAGATACACTTGGCATTACAACCTCAAGACGCGCGATCAAGCCTTCGACGCCTTCACAACATGGCTCCCCATAGCCGAACGGGAATCAGGAACCAAGCTAAAAAGTTTCCAGTCAGACGGCGCACTGGAATACCAGTCACAACGCTTCAGGACCTATCTGGCGGAAAGAGGAATCAGGCGCCTGGTGTCCCTACCATACGCTCACCAGCAGCAGGGGGTCGCAGAACGCATGAACCGGACCTTGCAGACGACGATGCGAAAGCTGCTCCTGGGAATGAAACTGCCCACCACACTGTGGCCAGACGCGATGACACATGCAGTCCACCTGCACAACCTGTTGTCCTCGTCATCGCTCCCCAACAACGCATCACCACACCTGCTGTGGACGGGAAAAAGGGGCAGCACAAAATTACTTCGAGTTTTCGGCTGCATGGTACAATACAGACCCCACACAGCTCGAGCAGGACGCTTCACTCAACGAGCTCGGTGGGGACTACACCTCGGCATCGCCAAACATTTTCACGCGTGGAAGATTCTCGACATACAAGACAAAAATACGGTGGCATCACGTGATGTTATCTTCTACGAGCGACTGACGCTGCAGCATTACCTGGACAACATTGCCAACTCAGACGACCCCACCGACGGCTTCGCGGGCCTTCGCTCCTTCGCTGACCATGCTGCCGAGGCTGACGCAGCAGAAGAAGACGTCCCTGGAGCCTCGGAGGTTGCCGGACAACTCCCCTACTGCTCCGTACCTGTTCCACTCGATGAAGATAATCCCCTCGATAGCAACAACCTCGACACCTTTTACCACTTCGCTGACCAAGGCTACGCTACACCACACCCCGTCGACTCGAATATTTCCGAACGCATCGGGCCAAACTTCTTACCCGATCCTGAAGACGGTGATGAAGCAGCTTATCCCGGGAATGAAAATTCCCCTCGACACACAGCCACGGGACTGCAGATCCTAGGACTATGGGTCTCCGTTCAGCACCCGCCGCCGCCTTCTCCGCGCGAGCCATCGACCCTGTCGCAGGCTCTGGGGGGGGAACATAAGGCGGAATGGAAGGAAGCAATGAAAAAAGAGTTAAAAGCCCTCCAAGACCGGAATACATGGAAGTTAGTACCAACAACCAACACCAACGGGAGGAACATTCTCTCGGGGAAATGGGTGTACCGCATTAAGACCAACGCGGACGGCTCCATCGAACGTTTTAAAGCGCGATGGGTCGTACGAGGCTTCGACCAACGATACGGAACCGACTACACAGAAACCTTCGCCCCAGTCTCCCGTCACACCTCCCTGCGCATCCTACTCGCCGTCGCGGCCACGAAGAAACTACCACTACGGCAAATTGACGTCGCAAACGCCTTCTTGTACGCACCTGTGGACGCCGAAATCTTCGTCGAACAACCCCACGGATTCATCGACGACCCTTCAAAAGTATGCCAGCTGGAAAAATCCCTTTACGGGATCAAGCAAGCCCCACGGCTCTGGCAGCAGCACCTTCACGGCCGGCTCGTAAAAATCGGATTCCTACAGTTACCACATGACCAAGGCATGTACCGACTGCAGAAGGGAAGAGATTACATTCTGCTCATAGTCTACGTCGACGACCTGCTCTACA